GATGGTGCAGCCATTGGGGGGTTCCCTTTGTTGGCTGGGCCAGGTGGGGACACCAGCGAAGCTTTGATAGGGGAGGATGCTGGCAAGGGTGGGGGAGGTGGGGGTAGAGTGGGAGGAGGAGGGGCGGGCATGTTGGGGCGAGGAGGCACTGTCCGGGCAGTGCCATGTGTCTCGGAGGCATTTCCCAGCCGGGGAGATGCAGGGGCATTCAGCGGACCACTGGTGTTTTTGGTGGGAAGCCTGGGAGAAGGAGCTCGGGAGCCAGGGGCCAGCCCTGTCTTGCCACCTGGAAGTGAAGTGAGTTCTGAGTTAGTTCCGCAATAAGGGAAAGAGAAACCTCAAGGGTGAGTGTGTGTGTGTGTATGTGTGTATGTGTAGGGGACTGGGGGTGGGGCAATTGCCGACCCTCTCATCCAGATGTGAGTGAGGCATGGCGGCCACATCTCTCCCTGCTTGTCCACTGAGAAGGGCTGAGAAGGAGCAGCTGTCAGACTGGGCCCTGCCCAGCATTAACAGACTGACATCCTCCAGAACAAGCCCAGGTCAGGCCACACCAGATTGTCTATGCTCACCTGACTTCCATGTCTCCAAACCCAGGGCACAGGACTGCCCTGACCTCAAGACCACCCCTCATACTCATCCAACCAGAAGCTCTCTGCCTAGATGTTTCTTCACCCTAGCAGTTTGTGAACAAGGACTGTCTCAGTCTCTGGGCCCAGGCAGATTGACGGAAGTTATAAAGTGACTCAGAAGACAGTTGGGGAGGTAGCCTGCACTTGGTGAATGAGGCCAAATGACCTTGAACCTCCCAGTTTTAGTACTTGTAGAAGTTCAAAACCCCCTTCTCCAAAGATTAGAGAGTATTTCCAAAGGGATCTGTATTTCCTGGTCTGTTGGCTTCTTCGCCCTGGAGGCTTCTTTATCACATCAGCCACAGCTAGATTTTCAAGAGCCTCTTTTGATTAGGGTTTGCATCCTCTGTCTGTATTTCTCCGTCTGGGTCATGATTACAACACTGCTGCTCTATGCACAATTACACAGGAATGATTTACATAGGATGATGATTTGAAAGCTACTTCAAGAGCAATTCTGTGATCTAGAAACTTCCAGTGCTTAGGCTCCCAACTACTTAATCTCCTGCTCTGACTCTCCTCTGAAAACATGTCACCACTGGCTTCTGGTCTACCCATGAAAGGAGACAACGGTCACAGGATGACATGTCTGGAGTCTTTCTTACCTGCCACATCCCTCTGGCCTGCTGGTCGTAACACAGGAAAGCCCCCAGCAAACAGATCTCCCAGGGCTGGAGGTGTGCTCCCACCTCTGGGGGTTGCAGAACCTCCTCCTTCTTTGTTGGTTCCCTTGGAGTCTGAGAAGACAGACAAGTAGAAGAGGGTCTGAGGGCAGGCCATGTTCTAGCACTGCCTTTGACCGCCTTCCCATCCTCCCTCCTCACTGCTACCCGTGTACCCAGGGGTTTCCCCAAGCACTCTCTGCCTTGAGACTCTAAAGTGGCACGTGTCTAGACCAGTCTGCAACACTCTCCAGTCCCACTAAAGTGCTGACCATCAGTGGTCACCCATTCTGAAAGCAACCAAACAAAGGGACCCAAACATAAGTATATGGTTGCTTAACATCTGGTTGGGCAACGCTGGACGGCAAATACATCCGGGGTTTCCTAGGTGTTTTATTTATTTATCTTTTTAAGGGAAAACAGATCTCCTTTTGTTTATCATCTCCCTCTATTAGTTTTCAGGAGTCCTGGTGTGGCATTGTAGGGTCAGCACTGGACTGAGAACCAAAGGTCGACAGTTCAAACTCATCAACTGCGCCTCAGAAACTCTATACAGCGTTGCTATGAGATGGAATGGACTCGACAGCACTAAACAACAACAACAATGGTTTTAAAGACCCTGGACCCTCAGATGCATGTGCTCAGGGCTCCAGAGCACCTCCTCCTGGTGGCCTCCTTCCCTTCTCCTGGCTTCAGTAACCAGGCCAGCAGTCCTGGAGGAGGGCAGCGCCTGCTGGGCCACTGTCACTTCTGCCCAAGGTGCTGGCAGTACTGGCTGGACCTGGGCCACTGGCATGCTCCTGGATCCAGGTGATAGTAGCTGCTGTACATGACCAGGAAGCAGCTGTACCAATAGGGCAGCAGCTGCCAGGACTGTGACTGCCAGCTGCCCATCTGGCAATCCGCATACCCAATCCCTTCAGACACCTCTCCACAGCTCCCGGGAAACCTCTGCCCTGCCCTGTTCCTGTATATGCCCAAAGTTCTGATCCGGCTGCTGGCACACCCATGCCCAGCCCAGCTACACAACTAACAAAGGCAGGCTCCTGTATCTAGTGAATACAGATTTGGGGCTTTGTCCGGTGGGTTCCCCAAAAAGTCTTAATATTATAGACTTTACATGTGTTGCTGTAGGATAAACACTGGACTGCATGGTCGTTTGAACTGTAAAGCTGGTGGTTCAAACTCACAGTTATTCCTCAGAAATCCTATACAGGGTTGCTATGAGTCAGATCTGACTGGACGGCACTTAACAACAACAGGGATTTAACATCTGCATGTATACAGACTGCCTGTATATAGTACACTGTGTGTACAGCATCCAAATCACATAACATCCTTTTTCATAGCACATATTATAGACATTAAGCTACACATACCTGAACTGCCATTATATAGGTATCAATAAGGAAACTGACAATACCTTTCAAATTAGAAAACCTAACCGTTACAGGCAGAGTTGGCACTATTTTCAACATGACTGTAGGAGGCTAGACAAAGAAAATCCACAGATTGCATTCAGTCAGTATTTTAACTTCTTGTCCGTAAAGCCTTCACCAGGACTGCAAACAGGAAGTGAAGGCCTTCTCTTCCCTGCCTCCCTGGTTCTTGCCCCTCAGTTCCTGCAGATAGCTTCTATGGAAGAAAAGGCTCAGGAGACCCGGAATGTGTCACTAACCTCACCCTTCCACATGTGTGCAATTATCAGTCACAAACAATAAGATATTCAGCTTCAGCAAGAATCCTGATAGGAAATGTGTGTAACCTGAGGCTTATACACACCAAGAAATGAGGCCAGAGTGCCCACTGGTGGATGAATGGGGCCAGATGCTTTTGAGTATTAATAAAATATCAGGAAGTGGATGTGCATTTATCTGTTCGTTGGGCCTAACAGATAGAAGTTCAACCAGAAATTAACTTGTATTGTAATCAATGTTAAAAATACCTCTTTAAAAACATGTCAATCTTTGCACATTAACATATACTTATAGATACTAGATAAAATTAATTTTCAAAATCACTATGAATACCATTTCAAACATATTAACATCTAACATGATAAATCGTTCTATATACATTATTTCAACCTTCAACAATCTTGGCAAAAAGCAAAGAACAAATGTAATTATCTGCCCTGTTTTGCAGATGAGTGAAACAGAGCCTCAGAGCGCTTTGCTGGTTTTCCTGGGAGCAGAACTGGCACTCAGACGTGAACCATTGGAAGGAGCATGTTGTTGAGTGTCGTTGAGTAAGTTCTGACTCATAGTGACCCCATATATGGTTTCCGAGGAGCAGCTGCTGGGCTTGAACTACCAGCCTCGTGGTTAGCAGTCCAGTGTTTATCCCATAGCACTATACCAGAGTCCAACAGGAGCACAGGGCTACTTTTATTGTACCATACTCTAGAAAGCTACAGTCATCTGACCCCATAAAACAGAACCGTGAATAAATCTTTGCCCTTGTGAAAAACAAAATAAACTCCTTGCAATTTTTCATGTTGAAATTTAATTTTCTGCCATTGAGTGTGAGGATTACATTGAAACAGAGTATCTGTTTCTTTCCCCCTTTGTAAATTTATTTATTGTGGTAAATGTATGTAAGGGCGTCCCAAATAGTTTGTGGAAAAATTCCATTATCTTCTTAAAAAATTTTTTTTAAAGAAAGTTTTTATTGTGAATTCAGTGATAGTTTACATGGGAGAACATTGGTTTCACACTCATTGTTTCATCGCTATGATTACAACCCCCTCTGTGCATCATCATTCAACAGTATTTGTTTCTATTCCCTCTGGTTTTTTATTTTGGATGTACACAAAAACATTTGGGAATATATAATCATTTAAACAACCCAAGGGCACATTCTGCAAGCCTGCCTCCTGGCTGCCAGCTCTCAGTCCCTCTCTTTCCATGAATCTAGAATCCTCAGCTGCTCCCTCTCACCATGTCCCCATCTCTGCCTCCATCTCTGGTGTGGCTGCTTCTCTGGATAGGGTCCCACATTCCACTCATGCTCTTCTCCCTTGATAGTGCTAGGGTCCTCTGTTCCTGGACTGTAAGATTAACTACTCCCTGCTTTTGTTACAGAACTTCTACCTTTACTATTGTGACAGTCTCAATTAGTCATGATAACAATTACTCACTATTGATTCATAAGAATCTTATCCTCATCTCTTTACACCAGACCTGTCTAGACAAGATGAGAACTATTCGGTGGGGGTTCTATCCACTATCTTTTAATCCCATTTATCCACAAACTTTTTAAGCCCCTCATGTACATGTAAAACAAAACATCTGCCATCTAAACATTTTTCACATATCTAATTCATGACATTTACTATCATTTTGTTCAAACATCAGTATTATATATTGCCAAATTTTTCCATTATTTTTGATAGAGGCTCAGTGTCCTCTAAGCACTGAGCTCCGCTTTTGCTCTCCTGCCCCTCTGGCTGCCCTGGTCACCACTCATAAACATTGGTCTCTATTCCCAGTAGGTGACCTTTGACAGTGACCTCACAGATAACACAACGAGTACCATGCCATCCTAAAAAGGAATGGAGTGGGGAAACGTGTTACATACAACATGGGTGGACTCGAAGACCTTCTGCTGAGTGAAGGAAGCCACAGACAGAAGACGACATGCTGTGTGCTTCCATTTTTCTAAAATGTTCAGAATAGGCAAATCCACAAGGACAGGAAGTATACTAGTGGTTGCCAGGGCCCGGGGAGATGCTTTGGGATGATAAACATAATATGGAACAACACAGTGGGGAGGGTTGCACAAGACTGTAATATCCAAAATGCCACTGAATTTTACACTTTAAAAGGGTGAGTTGTCAATTCACAATAAAAACTTAAAAAAAAAAAAGTAAGTATTCATTTACTGTAGGTGTGGTCTGCTTAGACTCTGCCTTGTTTGAGAATAATGATACCCCACATCTAAGTAGTAATGAGAATAATGATTGTCAAAAAATCTGAATTTATGGCCCAATATATTAGACAATGCCATGACTAAATCATAGTGGTGGTTATGTGCCGTGGAGTCGGTTCCGACTCATAGTGACCCTGCACAGGGTTTCCGAGGCTGTAAATCTTTACGGGAACAGAAAACCTCATCTTTCTCCCATGGAACAAATGGTAGTTTCAAACTAGCTGACGTTGAGGTTAGCAGCCTGACTCGTAACCAGTACACTACCAGAGAAATCATTGTGAGTGTTTTTATTCTGACTCATATTTCATTTGTTCCTTGGACATTCCTTTAGCAATACCAGGAGCTTCAAAAGTTCATTCTTTAGGAATTCAGTTTTATAAAACTCTAGAGAATACAGAATGAATTTAAAGTTTATAAACCAAATTAATGGTCGGTGATGATTTGACCTGGGGAAGAGAGTGAGTGTGAAGGGTCATGAGGCGACCTAATGGATTGATGAAACTGTCTGTTGTTTGATTTATGTACCAGTTACACAGGTAATTATAAATGTCAAAACTTGCTAAACACAAAAACTGGATACATTTCACCATAGGTAAATTAGCCCTCAAATAATTGCTTTAAAAATCTGTGGGGAAAAAAAATGTTTTTTTGTTTTTCACTTTAAAAGGGAGAGTTTTATGTTAGATGTCTTTTACCACAATTTTAAAAAGTTTACTCCACTGTGGACTTTTTATTTTATTTTTTTTAATCTGAACGTGGTAAGTGATGGAAGATGCCCCTTGTAAAGGATGTTCAGTTTCTCTTGCCCCCTTGGCCCGTGCACTGAGTGACGGACCAATGGGTACCCCAGGTAACAACTCTAGCCCCTGCCTTGTCTCTTTGGCTCACAGGAGCCTGGCCAACTTGCCCACTTACTCTCAATTTGTGGGACACTGCGGTCATTGATCTGCGTGACTTTTCGTAGGCGCTTTCCTTGCTGGATGTCAGCCAACAACGCACTCCGACCTTTCGGATCTGCCTTTTTCAAGCTGGGTGTGTCTGTGTTTACCTGAAAGGGAACAAGACAGATTGTACAATAATTGCATATAACATGCACACATAAGCAAAATGTCCTGTTGTTTTTCCTCCCTTACTTCTCTGCCTTCTTTGTCTCCACAACCCTCCATTGTCCTGTTCCCAGGTCAGCTGACTGCTATAGTTGCCTGCACACCCAAGTCCTGCTCCAACCCCAGTCCTGGGGACTACAGCAAATTCTTCCCTGGAGGTCTGGGTGTTGCTGTTGTTAGCTGACATTGGGTTAGCTCTTGGCTCATGGTGACCTTATGTAAAAAGGTATGAAATTCTGCCTAGTCCTGTGCTAGCCATACGGTTGATTTCAGAACAAACTGCTATGATAGGATTTTCATTGCCTGGTTTTTGGAAGTACATCTCTAGGCCTTTCTAGCTCATCTTAGTCTGGAAGCTCTCCTGAAACTGGTTCAGCGTCACAGATATAAACAGGATTTCACTGACATAAGAAAGGGACCCTGTCTAAGCGTCATGCCCAAATGTCTTACATGAACAGTGTCCTGGAGGCACAATGGCAAAGTGCCCTATGGCTAATGTTGTTGTTGTTGTTGTTACGTGCCGTCGAGTTGGTTCCGACCCATAGCCACCCTGAACAGGGTTTCCGAGGCTCCCTGAAAAGGTTTACCGGAGCAGAAAGCCTAATCTTTCTCCCGTGGAGCAACTGGTAGTTTCGAACTGCTGACCTTGTGGTTCACAGCCGGATTCGTAACTACTACGCTACCAGAGCTCCTTTATGGCTTAGTGAGAGGCTGACAATTCCATCTTGCCTGGCGATCTGCTTCTGTAAAGATTGGTGTGTGGTGTGAAGTGCTGTCGAGTTGGTTCCGAACCATAGCGACCCTGTATAGGGTTTCCGAGGAGCAGCTGGTGAATTTGAACTGCCGACCTTGTAGTTCAAATGGCTTTGCAGCCTGGTGCATTAATGCACAGCACCACACCAGTCTAGAAAACTCCATGTGGGCGGTTCTAGTTTGTATTCTAGGGTCACTATGAGTCAGAATCAACTCAGTGGCACCCACAACAACTTCCAAATGGAAGGTGAGAATTCTACCTCTGATGCATCAAGTTCTCCTTGAAGGTCAAACTAGTTTTCTGCAAGTTGATTCTGATTCAGAGCAAGCCCCGTGTGTATCAGAGTAGGACTATGCTCCACAGGGTTCCCAATGACTAATTTTTTAGAAGTAGACTGCTAGGGTTTTCTTCCAAAGCATTTTTGGGTAGACTTAACCTCCAGCTTTCAGTTAGCAATCAGGGATTCCTAGAGTTCCAGGGAGGCCTTAATCATACTTTTCCTCCCTCCTTCCTAGGTTAGCCCCACCCACATGTCTGGGATTCTTTCTGGGGGCCCTTGGCCCCTGCTTCCAGATTTTGGATTAGCATCCACCTGATATTCCCAGGTTTCCTCCTGGACCAAATGTTTTGCCAACCCACAGCATGATTATGGGAGTTGACCTTGTGCCAGATCTACTCTGGACTGTTCTCCTCAGTGGAACTACAGTCTCGCACAGTCCTAGGTACCTACATGCGCCTGTTGTTGGGTTCCATGTGGTCTAGCAGGTCTCATAGCTGAAGCAGATTTCAATTCTAGGTGACCCTCGTGGGATCATGGCGCAAAGGGGAGAAGTAAGAAACTGGAGAGAAACTGGGGTTTTGAGGGTCAGTAGTGAAGGGAAAAAGCAGACACAGGATTACAACAAGCTTTTAATGACCACCTTTGCTCTGTGCCTGGGTGTCTCACATTGTTCTACTCATGAGCCCCAGGTGTGCAGAGTAGTACAACTGCTCCAGAGAGTTTTCGAGGCTGTGAGGGACCTTTCAAGAAGCAAATCGCCATGTCTGTCTTCCAAGGAGCCTCTCTCCGGGTGAGTTTGAACTGCCAAACCTAAAGCGAGTAGTTGAGTGCTTAACTGTGCCACCACAGGGCTCCTTGCCTTCTAGTAATCCTCAGAAAACATTGGGAATTTATAATGAGTGTGCCCTTATTTTACAGATGAGAAAACTGAGACTATGAAATAGTTTATTCTCAGGCCACGGGGCGGGAATTCAGACCCAGAACTGCTGCATTCATAAGTCCTTGGGGCTCTCTATTTTGCAATGTTATCGCTATTCACAGGCATCTGGGGTCTTTAGGATATGTGTTCTGCTGCTGCTGCTGTGAGCGTTGGAGTCGGTTCTGACCCACAGTGACCCTGAACAGGGTTTCTGAGGCTGTAAATCTTTACAGGAGCAGAACGTGTCATCTTTCTTCCGTGGAACAGTTGGTAGTTTTGAACTGCTGACCTTGTGGTTCGCAGCCCAATTCGTAACCACTATGCTACCAGAGCTTCTAGGATATGTGTTCTAAAGACTGCCAAAATGCTTCCTAATAATATATGTTAAGGAGAATAACCTTTGTCCTAACTCTGCAAGGAGCAATAGAAGTAAAAAAAACCCCAAATGTTTTACTTCCATTGCTGACCCGGCAGGGGTTTCTGTTAGAACCAGGGAGCATGGCAAGGAACATGGGTGGCAAATAGGGGTGAACAGGAACTGTGTTTATTCTACAGTGGCACACCAGGACTCCATATATACAAACATATATATATATTCTTCACTGGTTCTGTTTCTCTTGAGAACCTAACACATAAAACATTTATATCAATAAATCATTTAAACTGCATAGTTTTAAGATGTTCACATCTCCTCTCACTTTTTTTATGAATAAATTAATGGTAAGGAGAAGACACCAACAGCCAAGAGGATAGGAGCATGTTTGCATAAATTTATCATTACATAAATCTCAGGGATGCATTATGATTCGGAGGAGGAGAGGAAAGTGCCTTGTATTTTTCTTCCCAGTCATCTAGTTATAAGGTAAACAGTGGATTATAATGCTATTCATTGTTCAACCAATCTGATAACCTTGGAGGAAGTAAAGGAGGGGCAACCCAGGTTTAAAACGTTTCTTCTGTTTAAAGAAGCAATTGGAAGGATGAAAAAACCGTATTTCTAACTAGACCCTGGGAAGATTCTCTAGTCTAGTTTAGACTGAAGTTTCGATTTATTATCAAAAACGGATCTCCCACTCTCTAACCTAGCCCGTCCCAGGTTTTTCAGGTGAGGGCAATGAAAAATGTTTTGTGTTCTAGAAACCATAGTTTGAATTTCAGCACCCACTTAGCACAATGCTTCAATAAATTCTTAATGATTCTACATGACAGATTTGATGATAAAAGTCTTCCAAGTCGACAGGGGTTACAGCTTGTCACATTCATGTTTTCAGGATGGAGTTCAACAGCCTCATCTCAATTGAACATTCCTTCGCCTGTGATGTCTCACTTTTCTCTCCTGCTCCAAGGTTTGCCCCACTGACTTTCCACTAGCGGGCTCTCACTCACCTGAGATCATTGAGTATCTTCGGATTCTCCCAAGTGAGGTGGAAGGGCATTAATAACTGTGATTAACCCTGTGGTGCTGTGGGCTAATGTGTTAGACTGCAAAGTTGTTTAAACTGCAAGTTCGGTGCTTCAAGCTCACCAGCTGCTCCTTGGGGACCCTATACAGGGTCGCTATGGGTCGGAATTGACTTGATGGCACTTAACAACAACATGATTTTATATATTTAGGTACAAAAGAACATCAAAGGACATATTCACTTGCACACTGATGATCATATTACATACTACTCCATCTGCAGTATTTATTAAAAATGCAACCAACCACAATTTGCTTTCTTAAAACTCTTCTACAACCCTAAAAAGTCTTATGGTATTATGGTGTTGGAGAAGAATATTAAAAGTATCATGGACTGCCAGAAGAAAAAACAAATCCATATCAGAGGAAGTATAGCCAGAGTGCTCCAAAGTCAGAGGAAGTATAGCCAGAGTGCTCCATAGAAGGCAGGATAGTGAGACTTTGTCTCTCATACATTGGACATATTGTCATGAGGGACTGGAGAAGGACATCATGTTTGGATAAGAGGAAGACCTGCAATGAGATGGATTGGCTCAGTGGCAGCAGCAATGGGCTCAAACTTAACAAGGATTATGCAATGGCACAGGGCTGGGCAATGTTTCATACTGTTGTGCATAAGGTTGCTATGAGTTGGAACCGGCTCAATGGCACCTAACAACAAGAAGATATAGAAACAGGAAAGAAAATATTCCCCAACTATCAATGAACATTTTATTTTATGCAAATCCTGGTCATCAGCAATTTTACTAAAAAATATAATCAAGGAACAGAAAGCCACTCCCGTGATAACTAAATGCACACGCGTGCACACACACACAATGATAATTTTTTCCCTTGCTCTTTCGTGTTAACATGGTTATTGAGTGGGACAATTTGTTGACTCAGTTTTCCTCCAGCAGGCTTCAAATTGAATAGCACAGGATCCTACAAAGATGCAAAATAGCTGAATAGTAATGCAAATGAGCCCACCCCCAGGGTTGCTAAGGCTGAAAAACTGGAATGAGCCAAGAAGATTTAGAAAAACAAAATTGAACAGCTCAGGGTGGGATTAAAAAGGCACCTTCCCTGGCTACCCTAAGAAATCATAAAAGCATTTGTTGATTTGTTGTTCCAACAAATGGTGGTGGTGGTTATGTGCCACCATGGAGTCGGTTCCGACTCATAGCAACCCTGTACGGGGTTTCCGAGGCTGTAAATCTTTACAGGAGCAGAAATCAGGCCATCAAAATAAGCATTAGCTATTTTGACTGATTTGACTGTGTTTCAGGGTAGTTTGGGAGAGGAAGGTGGAAATGCAACCCATATTAAAACTTTGCATAGTATGTCCTCCTGCTATTTATTTCCTTGTCCCTAAATGTCATTACTGTACCCATCTGATACTGGCTTCTATGAAAAATATTAATAAAAATCCAAAGGACTGATCCAAACAGCAAACTGTCTATCTCAAAGGTGCTCTAAACTTATTATTTGTAATAATTTCAGCCTTCCCCAATGTTAAACCTAAAATTAGTAGTGAGGTTTCCAGGCCCCAGCTCATTATTCCAGCTCTCAGCCCACCTCTGCCTCTTCCAAACTTGTGGGCAGACACAACTCAGCAGACAGGTTCTGTGTACTTCATTGCCAAAGACTGAATTCAAGAGAGATA